ATATATATATATATATATATATATATACATACATCAAAATTCACTTATTGTCACAGGTTTTGGGGAAAAAAGAAAAAAAATACATTTCAGAGCACCTGCAGCTCCACTGAGTCCCCATTGCTCGCCATTCCCACAAGAAACAGTGTAGAATGATGATTTTAATGAATGATTACATGTTTAAGGCACAATCATTTGGGTTGTCATTGAGGCTTTTAGCAGATCTTTAATATTAAGTTTCTTTTTTATCTTTTAGCGAGGAGCAGACACACTGCGAGACACAACCGACAGGTAAGCCTGTACTTTTAGCGAGGAGCAGACACACTGCGAGACACAACTGACAGGTAAGCTTGTTTTTGTCAAGATATTTGAATGCATATATAGAAATAAAGACAGTAGTGATATGATTATTTCAGTCACAATCGGTGTTTTTACAGGTACTCTGGTTCTGGAAGCTCAGGAGCAGCCTCCATGAAGAAAGTAAAGAGAGTTTTGCTGTTTTACTTGATCACTTTTGTTTTTGTGCTTTATGATTCTACAGTACCTACTAAAATTATTTTTATTCTCTTATTCTTTTTACTGTAAAAAATATTCAGTGACTCACATTCATTAAAAAAAAAAAAAGGCATGGAGGCTTCAACATTGCGTCAGCTGTGTCTGAACAACCATATCCGCTAGGGTAATTAGTTTATCGTTAGTTGTAACCCAATATACAAAGGATTAGAAGTGATTTGAGCCAGTCACTACCCTAACAATGGGATTCCAAATAAAACTTTATTGAGATAAAATGACCTGAGGGTCATTGTCACACTGGCAGCATTGGTCATCAGTGCCTGTTTGTTGGAGCATATACTGTACCTGTAGCCTCCATGAAGAAAGTAAAGAGAATTTTGCTGTTTCACTTGATCACTTTTTCTTTTGTGCTTTATGAATTCTACCGACTATAATTATGTTTACTCTCATATTCTTTTTACTGTAAAAATATTCAGTGACTCACATTCATTTAAAAAAAAAAGACATTGAGGCTTTAACATTGCGTCAGCTGTGTCTTAACAACCATATCCGCGAGGGTAATTACTTTATCGGTAGTTGTCACCGGCGAATATACAAAGGATTAGAAGTGATTTGAGCCATTCACGAACCTAACAATGGGATTCCAAATAAAACTTTATTGAGATAAAATGACCTGAGGGTCATTGTCACACTGGCAGCATTGATCATCAGTGCCTGTTGATCAATGCTGATCAAAAAAAAGGTAATTCATTTGTTTCTATTAAAATAGTCATCTTGCTCTATAAAATGCTTCATTATGAGTCACTTGATTCTTTTTTACTTTTATGATTCAGAGTCCTCAAATTCATTTATTAATCATGTACACATAACCAAATAATAATGGTGTGTCACTATTTCCGTTTAGAACCACATTACATTTCAGATCGTGACAGGCCCCCCCTTTTATGACAAGGCATTATTTCAGTTCATGCTGTTATTAACTCATATGATGGAGTACTATGTTATTAATCTGTCCAGTGAAAATGTTACAGCAGAAGTATGACTTTATGCTTTTCTCTGCTGTACATATCAACATTGACACTCACTTTCCTTAAATAGACATTCATAGTACTGGACTGTGGTTTTGAGTTATGGGAAAGAAAATGAATGAATAATTTGTTGTGCTTCTGCCTTTGTTTACATCATTGGAAATTTTAATTAGGAGTTCATCTGTGAAATACTGAGCTAATTCGAATTATTTTCCTCATTCTTTGTCTGTCAGTCTTTCCATTACACTTCATTGAGAACGAAAACCAAAAAGAGAAGTAAAGGTGCGTATCTTTTTTTTTTAGACTGATGATAATTTAAAGTATCTGTATCATGCTCTTTTCAGCATTTACACTCTCTGCATATATTTGATTATAGATTACCTTCAGCACAATGGCGATCTCATTTCTTATGAAATATGAGTTATATTGGTGGCTGTATTTCTAACCTGGAAGTAAGACACCTGGCTCACTAAAACCCCACCTCTACCCAGGTGGCTTTCATGATGTCATCTAAAGCCAGATCTTGTGCGCACCGCCCGCAATGTCAGACATTGGTTGCTTGTCTCACCGATTATTAGAAATCACAAGCACACTACTGTGGGCCATAGCCGATGCCAAAACAGAGCAACAGCAGTCTGAAACAAAGCGTACAGACGGATAATCCTCCCTCAGTAGCAACTGTCCAAACTGTTCTTGCGATCCCCCCCGCAATAAAGTGAGTCGCGTAATGCATTCAAAAACACTCTGAAATACTGTTCCCAGTCATTCTTCACGGAATTCCTAATTTCCATCAAAATGAGGGCGGTCGAATGTCAGAGGTGCAGTATGCACGAGTGAAATTGCGGGAACAGAAATAGACTTGCTGGAATCCATGCGTGACAATGGCAGGTAAAACGGAACTTCTGCCTTTCGGATGATGTAGTCGGCCAAGCATGTGACGTGCGCAGTTGGGGACTGCATTGCACCCCCATCATTATAGCGTCCGTGTGTGGTAACCCCGAGACCTCCACCTTTTTACGCATGAGCACAGACTACTTTCTGTTACCAAATTGTCGGATGACTCGGGAGCGAGGCAACTCCATGTGCCAAAATGCTCAAATGGGTGCAACACAGCCCCAAGACGCTAGACTAGAAGCACAAAAATGAAGCCACTCGCGTTTTTTCGCTGAGTGCACGGGCGGCAGTCTACCAAAATAGGGTCCTATGTGTTCATTACCAACAACAACGTTGGGAGGGTTACTTTTAAAATGTATCCCAATACAGTTACCGGTTACCTGTTAAAAAAAAAAAAAAAAATCTTGCCAGTAGCTGATTGGCAAATGTGGTGTCATTAAACAAATTTATTACTTCAAGTTCTTTTTGGAGACCAGACAGTCCATACTGCCCTCTCCCCACCTTCCAGGAACGGGTCCCTACTCTCTTTTCTTTCTTTCTTTCTTTCTTTCTTCCTTTCTTTCTTTCTTTCTTTCTTTCTTCAGCTGCTTATCCCACTTCCCCAACGGATCTGGGCCAATAAACTGAACCTGATATTTATGTGGTTGTCTCACAGTGTGACCATCATGAACGACAAAAAAGTTCTCTTGTTTGACAAGGCCATACGATGGCCCACAGTTGAATGCACATATTGTTTGAAGATGGAGGTGAACCAGAGACCTGGTTTAAGAGGGAGACATTTCCCCATTTTTAGATTTAGTGAAGGTTTTATTTAAGCAAAGGCTGGGGCATTTGGCTGTTCTAGTCTAAGTGGGTTCCAAATACACTATAAAAGAGTTTTTTCTCACCTCAGGTTCTCTCACGAGTGCCAGTCGAAGGAGGATTTCCTGTAAGGATCTGGGCCACGGTGACTGTGAAGGCTGGCTGTGGAAGAAAAAGGACGCCAAAGGATACTTTACACAGAAATGGCGGAAGTATTGGTTTATCCTGAAAGAATCTTGCCTCTATTGGTACACGAATCAGAATGTAAGTCGATGTCAGAATGTGAAGCCCAAGCATGTGTTGCTAATTCGTCACATTTATTGTCGAAATTAATGAGAAACAGTTCCAAAAAAAAATGCAAAAAAAGTTTACAAACTAAAATAAGGTAACTATGGTGACTAATACAGGGGTAGGGAACTCCGGTTACTCGAGAGCCATAATATCCTGCCTGTTTTGGATCCTTCCCTACTCCACCACACCTGATTTAATTGTTCATGATCATTTCAGGCCTCTGTAGAGCGTGCTGAGGAGCTGATCATTTGAATTAGGTGTGCTGGAGTAGGGAGGGATCAAAAACAGGCAAGATATGGCTCTGGAGGAACCGGATTCGCTTACCCCTGGACATCAACTTAATTTTTGGCAGTGTACATAATTTATACGTTGTACAAATTTGAGAAAAATCATATTTTTATTCAATTATAAACCTTTATTTTGCTGTGTGAAAAGCTGCAATGTCAAGCAAAGCAAAATCTGGATTGCACATTTGGCAGCCGTTTGAATGTAGACTGTAATGTGTTGCATTTATAAAACATTTTACGTTCTGTTGCCTTGATTAAACTTCACTTCCTTTGCACAGAAGGCCTAGGGTGGTTCAGTAGCTATTCTCTTATTGATTGTGCAGGTGACAAATATTGCGGCCCGGGCAAAGGGTGGCACTGAGTGCTTTTGTTTAATGTAAAGTGGCAAAAGGCTTGACCCAGCCAATGTAAACAACACATTTAGTGTGATGAACAGTTCTAGAGTTAAATTGGTGTATCAGTTTGTGTGACAGTTTGTTCCCTTGATGGTGATGATAATAGTGTACCACCTCTCTCCATCTGTCTCTGCCTGCAGGATGAGAAGGCTGAGGGCTTCATCAGCCTCCCTGAGTTCAGAATAGACCGAGCCATAGAGTGCAGACGGAAATTGTGAGTGCTGAAATTATTAATCAAGCGCATTTACTCTCGCCTGAACAACATGAGTTCACACAAAACTACCGCGCGCACACAGAAGCACTAATTGGCATTCTTCTATCTGGCCAACTGCAGTGCCTTCAAAGCTTGCCATCCCAAAATCAAGAGCTTCTTCTTTGCCACAGACTGTCTTGAGGAAATGAATAGGTGAGTGTTGGTGTGTGTGTGTGTGTGTGTGTGTGTGTGTGTGTGTGTGTGTGTGTGTGTGTGTGTGTGTGTGTGTGTGTGTATTTTCACGCATGTTTCAACTGAGTCAACCAACTTTAAACAAGGAGAGTGAGGGCCCACTACTCGAATGCATTAATAAAGCATGAACTCCAGCCGGGTTCTTAAATGTACACTTGCATTAGCGTGTTGGCACAATATGTATGGACTGAGTAATATTTGCATCAGTGCTATCTGATCAGATTGAATTATGCATGCCTCCCAGCTTGACATTGGAATAAAACTGGGAAAAAGTCATTAACAAGCAATATTAAACATATGCTTACTATGTCTAGATGTGCTTATGTGAAAGCACCTTAGATCATATTATTAGGCTCAGGGCTATGTAATACTCCAAACAACAAAACATTTGAAATTCTTGCATTCATTTTTACATTTGGTCCTCTTTTCGAGGATTTTACATTTACAGGTATTTATAATCCTGACCATATTTACGTGATATCAATTTGCTCTTGTTGTAGCTAAATTTCTGTGGCCTCCAGAAAGCCTTCCCATTTGACCCCCCTACCCCACCACCACCAGATGGACAACACTGCTGGCTATACATACTGTACACTTGTGATTCTTCAGGTTTTTTATTCTATCAACTGAATTTGTTGACATCATTACAGCAAGAGGAGAATGATGAGTTTCCTGGTCCTGTTTTTCAGATGAGGCTTCTATTTTTAGTTGCAGCCTGATTATTCAGAGTCTGCAGGGACACGGGACAAGTTTGAATCTGCTGTGGAGACAGACAGGCAGAATAGAGAGACAGTGAATCTGGATGAGGACAGGATGTGTGGCTGGAGATAAAAAAGCCATCTGAGAATCATAGTTCAGAGACTGGGAAAGGAGACAGTGAGCACTCTCTTTCTGCATCCAACACTCCAATTTACTCTCTGCTTTTGTCTCCTCATCAAGGGGATGAAGTCTGTTAGAAAAATCTGAACTGTTAAGAGATATGACTTTAATTATTTAAAGTGAATCTTTTTTTATTCATCACCTTCTAGTTACCCAGTATAACCCATAATTTTCCACCTTTCCTTTTTTTTTACCCGTGGTTTCCTTTCCCGTGGACTTCTTTCAATTCTGTCACTTCTTTCTCATTTCAAATTGAATTAATGTTTGTTTTTGTTTTTTTTTCTATTTTAAAGGTGGATGAACCGGCTTGGATTGGCAGCTATTGGCTACACACCGGATGACAAAGTGCCACGTCCAGATGAAGGTGAGACAAACAGACTCTGATGTAAAGCGTTGGATATTCTTCTCAGCTTCAAATGTTCTTTCCTACTTTTCTCAACTTTAGACTACTGGAGTGAGAGTGATCAAGATGAGGTTGATGGCTCTATGACACTCAAACAAGAGGGACCATCCTCTCTCTGCGATACTTACCACCGCACACCATCAGTGAGTACAAACTTAACAACGTCCCGCTCTGATGAAATATTTTATTCAAAAGATACCCACAGTTTTAAGTGCTTTCGACATCAATAAAACACAAGATCATCTGGTTCGAGAAGCAGCCAAGCCCATGCTGTGTGTCATGCTGCCAAGTCACACTCAGACCAATAGATGGCAGCAACTTGTTCTCATTCAGCTCAGTTCGTGTATGACCCTGTATTACCTTCAACCATATTTCTATCCTTTGTTTGGTTGCGACAGAACCATTATTTACTGTACGTGTGTGACACTGAAAATTGAATGACAAGAACACAAAAAAGACCTCTACTCAAACAAAGTTGTCTTATGATAAGTAAGTGCGTGCCAGGAAGGAAGCTGCCATCACGTTAAACATTTACGATAGCTGACATAGCTGTTGTAAACTGCTCTCACACTCACTAGTGACAACAAGCTACATCGCGGTTTATCATTCAGTGAGCTAACCTAAACTGTACCACTTGGTGGACGGATGTCTTTCGAGGAGATTTGGACATTGTGTTGAGTTGTTACCATTCTCAGTTTAGCCACATAACAGCCATGTCCACCATTTTTGGCGATACTCATCTGACATCTCATTGCTTTTTTGCTCTCATCTTTTGGTCTCTTTACGCTCTGCTTTTTTCTGTTTCCTCCTTTCACTCCTCATCTCCTTATTGTTTAAAAACCCACTTTTCCTCTCATTGTCACCCACCCGTGCCACACGCCCTACTTACACATGCCCACAAAGTCTAACCTCCTCCACACTTATGACCAATTGCCCCGCTCTGTCAGCTCCATGAGCCTCATGCGCTCCACCCCATCTCCCCATCCTCTACCAATGAGTGCCTCCACCTCCCCCGTCCCTCCACAGATGGTCTCTTCCACCTCCCCTCTTCCTCTGCAGGTCAATTCTTCTAGCCCCTTCCCAGAGCCAAAGCATGGGCGACATTTTTCCAGCGAGTCAACCCACTCCCACTCATCTGCAGAAGACCAGCGTGGAGAGGGATTGGGCATGGGCACGGGAACAGGCAGCACCAGTACCCACTCCTCAGGTTGCCGGTCTTCACATCGTGAGCGTCGTTCCTGGCAGGACCTCATTGAGACCCCTCTAACCAGCGCCGGGCTACATTTCCTCCAGACAGCACCGGGAGAAAATGATTATACTGGCCTAATGGGAAGCATGGCTGGGGAGATGGGGCTGTATGGAGGACTTGGCAGACAGGGCATGTCGCCAGAGAGACGCCGGCAGGCTACACTGCCAGTACGAAGACATCACGCCACAGAGAGAGACAGGGATCGGGATGGGCCTTTCCCTCTGGAGCGTGGTCCATACACCCACAGCTACACGCATCGACGTTCCCATAAGCAGCGCAGTCAGAGTCTGCCTAGAAATAGGGACCCATTTGGAGGAAAGCTGATACACTCATCGCCTCACATGGAGGAGAGAAGTGAAGATGAGGAGGCAGAGAGGCAGGCCGCAGATATGCTTGAGGGTGAAGAGGGTAAGAAAGTTACACCTTTTCCTTATCATAAGAAAGGATAACAAATGATACAGGGTACCGTCGTGATCATAAGTTGACATACCATAGGAGCGGCTCTCAATTGGGGGACTATGTACCCTTTATATTTAAAAAGTTGCCACCATGAAAAAAAAAAAAAAAAGATCGTGTTGCCTCCCTGTCTCCAACAATGACAATGGCTTGAGGAAACACAAGCCTGGTTAATTTCAAATTTGTAAAAAAAATAAATAAATAAAACAATTGAATTTCCTTTTGGGCGTGGATGGTCATAAGAAAGGATAACAAATGATACAGGGTACCGTTGTGATCATAAGTTGACACACCCTAGGAGCGGTTCTCAATTGGGGGACTATGTACCCTTGGGGATATGTGAAGATCTTGTTGCCTCCCTGTCTCCAAAAATGACAATGGCTTGAGGAAGCACAAGCCTGATTAAGTTCAAATTTGCAAAAAAAAAAAATAAAGAAATAAAATAATTGAATTTCCTTTTGGGCAAGGATGGGTGTTCGTTTCTGTGTGCCCTACGATTGACTGGCAACCGGTTCAGGGTGTCCCCCGCCTACTGCCCAAAGACAGCTGGGATAGGCTCCAGCACCCCCCGCGACCCTCGTGAGGACAAAGCGTGTCGGAAGATGAATGAATGAATGAATTTCCTTTTTTCCCCAAATAGTAGGGTTTTTGTTTCTGTTCAAACACAGTCCTGATTGTGCTATAATGTTGTGCGTTCACTGCATTGTTGCTACGTCAGCAAGGTGGCATTACTTGACAAAGTCTTCATTTACATATTATACACAGTGAATTCCAAAAGGAGTATTTGAAATACTGTTACAACTATACAATCGCCAACTACGACCTGACATGCTGTTGCAATAAATTTGAACATGCCCCGCCCCTCAAGAAAAAAAAATGAACTGTTCACTGAATATCTCTTCTCTGCTTCTCCCCTGGCTACCTCAGACTTGCGGGAGTTGAGATTTGAGGGCAGAGAGAGGAGGGTCTCAGAGGGAAGAGAGCGACGGGTGTCAGACGGACGTGAACCGGAGCCACCGGATGGGTTCGAGCAACTCTACCGCGCCCTCGAACAAGCCAATGTTACAGCGCTAGGTGACCCAAGACCCTGTAGCAGGCAGGAACTGCGACGAGGTTTCACTCATAGAGTCAGGGACCCCCTTCTCAACGACAGACTGCACCGCGTCAGAGCACTACGCAGCACCTTAAAGGTAGCAAGGAGAAATGAATTTGTTTCCAGAAAAAAAAAAAAAGAATGACAGTAGAGTATAGACCTTCACCAAAGAAAAGGAATCCTAATTTGGAACCGCACCATAATCATGTGGAAAATAAAATGGCGCCTTCCGAGCTGTTTATTCTGGCATACAGCTTAACCTCCATTTTTGTTCATAATCACATATTTTCTTCCCCATAGGATGTAAAGGAATTAATCTTTGTACAGTAAATTCAGTGGTGGTATAAAAAAGCCTGAGCTAAAGTCTTGCTCATCATGCTCTTACTGTTTACCTTCACTGTCTGGTACAGTATACCCTTAAGTGGTGGTGTAAAGAAGCCTGAGGTAAAGCCTGGTGCAATGTGCTGAGGTCTCACGGGACATCAAGTGATGACGGCGGAAAGCGTGGAAAATAGGGTGCCGTTTGGGGACATTCAAATTTGGAGGTTGCACTGTAGTTGCCATCTGCCAAAACCTTCTTAATAAGATTCATTTGGCATTCACTAACACACAAAAAAAGGATTATTAAGTGACAACGCCTTGGAAATGACGCACCTTCATGGTGTTCCATTCAATAATTTAAGTGGTTCTTTCGTGGCCCATAGCTGACTCCTCCACAAAGTTTTGTGGAAAATTGCTGAAGGTGTTTGCGTAAAACCTGACAACAAAACATAAACTCCTTGCCCACCTAATTGTGGTAATGTCTCCTCCAGGCCAAAGAGTCTGAGCTGGCAGTAATCTGCACCCTTTTGGAGGACCCAGGCCTGTGCGCCCAGACCTTCAGAGATTGGAAACAGTGGCACAGTGAGCTCTATTCCGACATCTGTCAACTCGGCCCCGGCACCAACGGCCAGGATGATCTCTCCCCACTGAGCGCTCCCATCATGACCCACACACACTCCTTTATTGAGACCCATGTGTGAGATAGACGGCAGACTGGACTTTCTATCTATATATCGCTCTCACACACACACACACACACACACACACACACACACACACACACACACACACACACACACACGCGCGCTTTGTTACATGTAAATATAGAGGGAAAAGTGAGATGTATGTGAGTGTACTTTTGTTAACTCTGAGGACCCCACAGGGTGTCTGTTGCATGCCTGAACAGAAACCATTCATCTTTTGTCTGTGGAACTCAGCATAAAGTTCACATGCCTGTCAAGAAGGAAATGGATGATAATGGATATGTTTGGACATGTAACTGTACATGTCCTTTGTATACTGTATTTTGTTTTTGCTCTGAATCTGGTTGATTTTTGGGTGGAGGAGCATCTATGTAGCAGCAATACAGAGGAAATCTTTTCACCACAGCACTGTACTTTTGTACTAATGAACTTGCACCCAGAGCCACCAATTCTCCCCGTTCACTGTTTCTCTTTGATTTCTTCCCTGCATATCGTGCTCTATTATTCTGAGATGATCTGACAGGGCAGTGTGGGAAAAGTAAGCTCAGTGACTTTATTTAAAGACTGTGAAAACTTGCCATTAATGCTGTTTAATGTCTCTTTACCAATGAAAACCACCGCTACAGGCAAACAAGGACCATTTTCTATACACACAATTTCAAACTGTGAAAATGTTTATCTGCGCAGGGAGTTTTGACTCCTCTGTTTGTGTGCAAATCTACAGTTGAATTTTTCTTTTCTCAGCACCACTCCAATATCTGTTGTCTGTCATTCCATTTTTAATTTGTTTGTCTCTCCTCTCTTCTCAGATTTTGTATTTGTGTACACATTACTACCGTGTATACTAATGTAAATGTTTGCGTTCAACGACCACTGTGATTTGCTTTTTTAGAGAGCGCACTGAGAGGATGTATTTGAATGTGTGCATTTTTTGAGGGGTGGGGCTGGGGGGTTTGTTATACTGTGACAGCAAGAGTCATTTTCAAAGGAGTCATTCATTGCAAAGAACGCACTTTCCATGTATTTTAATCTCATTAGCAACATCACAGGGTCTGTCTCATTGGCCTCTACCATTGCTGTTGAAAATATCAGGTAAAGGTATCTAATTTTCTGAAGATTTATGTACAGCCGACTAATATATTTAAACATAGACAAATATATAACTATCTTTACGTTTTGTGTCATAAATATAATGTAAAGTATGATGTATTCTATGCCAAGGTTTTGCATTGTACCCCTCTTTACACTGTTGCTGTCGATGCAATTTAACTCAGAGCAAAGCCTGTCATCAATCAGAGTGACAGAGAGTTTTTTTATTGGTATAGAGAAACATAAAAGTTGACCCATAGACATTCTCCTGGTTATGCGTTGCATGAGAAAAGGCCTGGGACTGATTTAATTGGACAGGGTAAAATATTGTGGATCATTTTTTTGTCAATTCTTATATGCTCCTTATGATTGCAAGATTGACCGACTCGTAGCGCATGATACACACAAGAATACCATTGAAGAATGATTTTTTTTCATTTTGACCGATGTGAGAATTTCTTCTACATATGTGTGTGTGTGTGTGTGTGTGTGTGTGTGTGTGTGTGTGTGTGTGTGTGTGTGTGTGTGTGTGTGTGTGTGTACAACTGGAAGAAGGGGGGTGGACAGTCTATTAAATCATCATTGGATCGGAAGCGTCGCCTCGTCAGCATCCTAAAAAAGAGGTGACGAGAATTTAGTTTATGCACCACAGAGTGAGTTTGAGTTATAAACATACTGTCACTTGGCAAAGAAAAGATGTTTGATACCGTGTTTTTCAAAATAATCTCAGTCATGACTGCCCTACAGCGGGCTAAAGACTCAATAGCGCCCCCTGGAGTGACGAACTCTCAGACGTGTAGCACCAACTGTATCAAGCACTATATTTAGGTATGCCTCACCTTCTACTATCATTCTTTTAGTCTAGCTCTAGTTTGTATCATCATGTTACACGCTTGTGAAATATGAAACACAACCCAAAAATACAGTTCTGTTTTTTGAATGGTTTATTTGAGAGTACCACAACAAAACTAAATGATGCAAGGACTGTGCCTCCCAATCCTCTCTTTACCAACGTCGTCAGACTGACCACACTGGACTTCCTTCATACACTTAGCTGTAGACGATTGGCGATGCAGTCTTGGTCTGCAGAGGTCTGTACGTTACTCAACATTTGGTTTGTTCTCCTTTTTTCTCACCTGCTGCTCAGCGAAACAGCAACTTGACTGTAGACAAGTTCTGATTTGTGACCACAGTTCTGATTTGTGTTATCACCTCCTCATCTTTGTGTGTGTAAACCTGCAGAACCAGGCCGAAAAGGGGGGGATTCACTGTGTGTCCTTTCAGGGGTGTACATGTACACCTCAAGGTACATTGCACATGGTGTGTAAGATGTAAGTTGCACTGCGACATAAAAAAGGAACATATTGCTCTTTTTCAAGGATGTTATTAGCTTACTGTAATTCTGTACAATAAATGGACTAAAGATGATATTAAAAAAGACAAGTACATTTATTCTTCCTAAAGTAGCCTTTTTTGGTTTCATATATATGAGTATATATTACAAAAAATACAGATTGTAAGTTGTTAAACTTTAACTCCAATAAACTGAATCCTCTGCACTATGAGCTCGCTTTTGCGTATATGCCTCGATCTTTTGGGAATTCTGGAAAACTCTCCACATTCAATCATTGAATATTGCACTTCATTTGGAAAAGTGCAACCGTTTTTCCCCCATGCCTTATTTATGTTCATCTATCCATCCATCCATCCATTTTCAACACCGCTTTTTCTGAACAGATTCGTGGGGAGTTGCTGGAGCCTATCCAGAGAGAGAGAGAGAGAGAGAGAGAGAGAGAGAGCGAGAGAGAGAGAGAGAGAGAGAGAGAGAGAGAGAGACAGAGTTTGTCATTACTGTACAATAAACTGCAATACTATTTTTCATGGTAGATGGCAGTAGGTTAGTTTGGTGAACTCGAACTTGCAGAGTACGGCAGTCCCAGAAGAAGAAAGGGGGATCGGTGTCATGGCGGCCAAGGTGAAGCTTCGTCGAGCGCTCACGTTCCGTAGTAAATTAATATTTCCAGTTAATATGTACACGGCGTGTTGTTGTCTGACAATTCTGTGTTGTTGGTTGTCAGATCTATCTAATACTCTGCATGTCAGCCTACCAGAATGAGGTAGTTGAGCATTAAGTTCTCGTCTGATGGTAGAGTGGTTTAATCTTAAAGTTCAGTTGCATTGGCCACGCTATTTCAAAATGACAAAACATGTGACTGACATTCGGCTGCAGCTAGTAGAATATGCATTAGTGTATTGGCTAAAAGTAAAAAAAAATACTTGAAGCTCCTGCATGCCAATAACTCATTTGCAAGTACGTTATCTTACACCGATTTGTGGTGTAGTATTCACACACTTATTACATTATAGTAGTGCCAACTACAATAATGGGAGCTGATCTTCTCCTAAGACATGACAAAATACATTGTGCTTAAACCAATGCCGCGCAACTAGTTTTCAGTGTTTTACATTCAAACGTAGTTTGCAGCAAACGTGAGTGACATCTTGCATGCTGAGAATACTCAATCTGTATGGAGAGAGAGAGAACGTATATATTGTAGTGTATGTATGTGAATATGTATATTCATGTAAATGTCTGAGTGTGCACGTGTGTGTCTATGTGTATTCATTTGCATTACTTGTATCAATAACATAACGCATTAAATTAAAAGAGGCATTCGCTTTTTGTACAACTTCACTTGAGTAGCTTGCATTATAGCATCCAATGTAATTCAGTAGGTTCATTGCTGTGCATTGATGAATTCAGACCATGTGTTCAGTTTGCCATGTGTGGAAATATTGTGTGTATGATGTCAAATTGGGGTGGCCCGGTGGTCAACTGGTTAATGCGTCGGCCTCACAGTGCAGAGGTACAGGGTTCGATTCTGACTCCGGCCTTCCTGTGTGGAGTTTGCATGTTCTCCCCGTGGCTGCGTGGGCTTTCTGCGGGTACTCCGGTTTCCTCCCACATTCCAAATACATGCATGGCAGGCTGATAGAACACTCTAAATTGTCTCTTGGTGTGAGTGTGAGTGCAGATGGTTGCTTGTCTATGTGTGCCCTGACAACCAGTTGAGGGTGTCCGCCACCGACTGCCCAAAGACAGTTGGGATAGGCTCCAGCACGCCCCGCGACCCTTGTGAGGATAAGCCGATTGGAAAATGGATGGATGTTGAATTGTTTTAGTTGCACTATAGTAAACGAATTGTTTGAATAGACTCCGACATGTAATGTTTTACTCTCGAAAGTCAGATTCAGCACTGCACTGTTTATTTTCCTAGGTGGCTATGGTGGCTGTGCCGGCGATGCTGGGCATCGCCTCCATTAGAGTGTACACCATTAGTGAAATGTCCACTGAAGGCCTCATTACTCGAGAGAAGGTACCCCCATCTGTATTGAAGGAGGCCAATCCACACGATGTCTTGTATGTGACAATTGCAACGTAATAACTTTTTACCCTTTTGCTCCTAGTTGAACATCTACACCCCAGTGCCAAAGTCTGCTCAGGTCCAGGTTGTTCCTGATCAGCCAGGGCTGATTGAGAGTGGCTTTGCTACAGCAAGAGAAGGCCTCCAACCCTTTGTTCATATAGTGAAGGTAACTCAGATCTCTTTTGAATATGTGAAGTCAACCATTATGTTTTGGTTAAATTTGACCCGGCACAGAATACGGGAAGATTTCTGAGTCATTTAAAAGTTGTTGATGATAATAATAATTAGGGCCCGACTGATTAATTGGCCGCTCAGATTGGGCAGCGCAATTTTTATTGAGTTCGGTCTGACAGCTGTAGTTAACTAATTTTGGGTGCGGAATCCAAAACTGACCTCAGTTTTTCTCTATCACGTCAGGTTTTTGAGCTATCGGAGCCCCGTTTTCTTTTAAAAAAAAGGGAATAAAAGAAATGAAGTGTACATGTGAAAATAAAACACTAAAATGGAATAAATTCAAACTTTGAAAACTAAAAAATAGCATAAAATGAAATTGAATGTAGAACCGTATGCCCCCCGTCACTTAGTTCAGTGATGTTGCTTTTTGTGATGGTTGTATCCCCTTGTACCCACAGGGAGCCTGCATCTCTGTGAAAAGAGGAAGTGTAAATCTCTACCACGCTGGAGAGGGTGAGTTCAATGTTGGTACTTGCAACTTTCACAAGCGGTATTTACATGTATGAGTTTGGATGTACGTGACATAATTAACATTTATTGCAGGTTTACTTATTCCAAAACACACACAAATTGTACATAGTCCAAAGGCACTTCCTGCATAATGTGAATGACTGGCATATTTCTTACTTAAGTATGGAAAGGTATGGATTTGAATCTTATGAATTTTTTGGGGGGGGGCGGGAGGGTCCTCTTTTAATGTTGTATTTTTTATGTTTTAATTGCACATCACTTTGAGTTGGATTTTTACATATGAAGAGAGCTATGTAAATAAAGTTTGATTGATTCATTAGGCGGGCGCATGTTTCTGTTTTTCAAGCTACAGGGACGCCATTTGAAGGAAAAATAACCTCATTCTTTCAATGTCGGATAATGTGGGGTTGTATAATAGGTACATTCAATAGTTTAATGCTGGCGTGTTTCAAAGTGGTAATGCAGAGGCTCAAAATAAGCGGTTTTGCAAGGCAAAATTTGCTATCTGCTCCTCATCAGAACACATTTAATAGCAAAATTGAGAATCAACCGCAAAGATGTTCCCAACAAGCTTTCCTGGGCTGCATGCACGCATGTCGCGCACGTCAATCGATGTAATTCCAGCAGACAACTAGTATACTTAGAAGAGTTTGATGTTGTCATTGTTATAGCTATGCGTTCGTCTGGCGACCAAGTCGTGCGTGCATAGAGTCCATTGTTGATCCTCCCTACACGTTGATTAGCTCCTCACCACTTTGAGCTGGTGATGGATTAAAAACGTTAAGGCACAAGACTACATTTATTTTATGCGTCATGGTTTTCTTCTGAAACAGAAAATGTATTTCTGTATCAAGAGAGTTATTCAAGTTTTGACCAAAGTCTATCGAGCTGTTGCTTTCCACATCCGCCACCTTTCCGCTTAGCTTCATGCACGTCGGTTGTTTTGTGCTCAATCCTGCTCAGTAAGCAAAAATAAAGCAACCCAACCAACATGGGGAAAAACACTATCGTGCTCAGAGGTAATACTTACCGCTGTCACAGTCTCAATCGAAGATGTCAGTCAGTGTAATGAAAATTACTGTTGAAAAGAGAGGAACAGCTCATTTACTGTGCTTGTTTGTCTTAGATGTGTACTATTGCTTAAAAGATCCTCCTCCGGGTTTCCTACCAAGGCTTGGCACCATCACCATGGCTGGCCTCCTTGGCATGTTCGTGGCACGCAAAGGTAAAATGATCTCCAATCACTCACACACACACACACACACACACACACACACACACGCACACACACACACACACACACACACGCACATGCACACAATTACAATTTCAAGCACGCACACGCAGCCAATGAAGGGGAGCTTTTTGGAGATCTGCTGATATGCACATTCACAAGATCATATACCAATAACTGCTTAATAGTCTGGAATTCTTCATTCAGGTCAACAGCGTTCTATGTTCATGTCATTTGAACATGAATACAATTCGGGAATCTACGGAGGTATATTTGTGCCATCGACGTTTGAATAACACAGAATTTTTTACTCATCAAAATTCAACATGTCAAAAAATTTCTTCGTCTCTAAAAATTCAGTCACCAAAAACAAACAAAAAACCCACACAACCTACTGTCCCTTTAAAGTTTCAAACGTGTTTTTCTGTTGATTATCAAATGGGAATTTAGGCTCTCGTTTAAAGAGGATCATGGTCCCGTTGGGTCTCATGAGTGCTGGGGCATCGGTGTGCTACCCAGCCCAGGCAGTGGCTGTCTTTAAGGTGAGCGCTTTTCCAGACTAACCTTGTAACCAACCAACAACAACACGCCCGTACGGTCGTATTCATGTGGCGAAACACAGATTTTCTCTTGGTTACCAAGGTGACAGGCAAGAAGATGTATGCTGCCGGCCAGTGGAGCCGCACTACTGTGTCTTCACTGCTCACCTCGAAGCCCCCAGAGCCTGATGCTGCTCGACAACCACAGGTTATTTGTCCCATTAAACATTCAAATAGATGCATGATTATGAATGTATGCTAATTTGCAGTTTCAACAGAGTACCAGGGAATTTCTTTTTTTATTATTGTTATTATTATATTGTGTGAAATCTCATTTAAACAGGGCTGTATTTCATCATTTCCCGCTCTGTATTTTGTTTCTTCTGTTGCACTTGCCTTTGCTTTTTTTTTTAATAGTCACAATAGATCTTCAGAGTGCAAGTGTTAATGTGAATTTGAATACATTTATTCTGTTCAAGGAGAATATTCGCAATCATGTCGGAGGTTAATTTTTTTCGGGTGTGCTACGAAGTACACATTGTCAGATGTGATTGCACCTACATATCATTTTAATATTAAGTTCACAGGGTGAAAATTTAAAGGAAAGTTTCCACCTAAAAATTCATGAGACCACCACCCATTGTGAAGCTTATGCCACAGTTTCCTGAAATTAACTGCACTGATAATTATCAAAATGATTTAGTAGGTTTTTTGGTAGCAGTTCATACACCAGTATGCAGAAGGTCTTTGACCAAAATTCTATTTTTAATGTTAAAATGTTATTGTGTGAGCGTGAGTTTTCAAAGACACCTAAAGAAATTGTCATCTTGCTCAATGCTCTTCATAGGCAACTCCTGTGCCCCCACCAGAGGCGACAGTAGTTGACGAGCCTCGTCACCCTTCAGAGCCCGGCACAGTGCCGAGTTTTGCCATCTCAGACACAGAGGTGCGATCAGCGGAATGTGGTCCAGATGCTGAAAATCTCATCATTGCTATCGCAGACGAAGAGGCGTCAGTCAAACTCACCGAGATTTCAGCCGAGCAGGCGGCTGCGGAGATAGACTCAGGTACAATAGATATTGATCTTGGTCTTCTTGTTTCTCTGTCTCTATTTCTCTGTGTCATATCAGTCACATGAGGCATTTACCCCTACTCAGGCTTGAGTTCTAACTTTGTGATCTGTCCACCCCGGATCGTAAAGAATCACTTGACTGTATTGAAAGTGAGGCGCTTCAAGCCTCAAAAGAAGCACAAGAGGGCGCCGTTGCCGTATCTAATGATGCCATCACTTCATCAGAGGCCATCTCTCCAGCTTCTGATGGCACCCCCGCTGAGACCCTGCCTGCTGAGCCCACACAACGTTCAGAAACAGAAACCAAAGAGTGTGCTCAAGTTGAATCGGCTCCAACTGATGTTCCTGCTTCCACTGCGGATCCGCCGAGCATCAAGACCTCAAATGAATCAGCAGGTAGAACTGATATTCTTCTATGTCGGTGTGATTCCTCTTCACTGTATGCCTATTACAGTTGATCTAAAATCTAAATATTTATTAGAACAATTAATCGGTCACTTAAAGCTGGCTTCCTGCATAATTTATTGTAAATAACCAGAGGTGGGCATTCGGTCCATAGTAAGGTCCCTCAGTCTGGACGCCCGTTTTGTTGACGATTGATGGATGGCGGGAAGCTTGAGTTTGTTTTGGCTTTGTGCTTCCTGTACAGTAGAATGCGGTGACAAGCAGGACAGGAACACATCAATATGTACCAGTCCAATGCCTATTGATGTAGCTAGATTGATTAAATATATGTATTTTTACACCCGTAGTGTGAAATGTATGTCAGTGGATGTGTGTCTTATGATGTAGCTCAGCGGTACCCACACTTTTTCAACATGCGAGCTACTAAAATGACCAAGTCCAAGTCATCTACCCAATTTATTTATTTATAAATATAAGTCTTTATAGGTACAGTATATATGTTGGTGTAACTTGCATACAGCAACTGCATGAACCCATATTGCAAAATACAAATAGTGCACATTTTCTCTCCTTACTTCTCTGATGACGTGCGCTGAATGGAATGAGCCTGGGATGCATAGTCCAGAGAGCAGGTGCTGATCACGAGCCTTAAGCACACCTCCCAATGAACATCAGTCATGAATGAACGGGTACCTGGACTGAATGTTTTCTTGATTGGCCCAAAAATTCTGCTCCAAATTCCTTCCTTCCACCGGCCAGAAAGCGCCCCGTTCAGAGCGGCCGGCGTGACGCACGGGGTCAGACAGACATCCCAGTCGTTACCCCCACCACCACCACACCACCACATCCTCCATCCCACGAGTATTTCTCCAGCCCCGCGGGGAAAATAAGCGTGTGGGGGCCCCAGCACATCCCCGCTTTCCCCTGGCCCGCCCACTCTCCAGCAAGTCCGAGACGCCACGCCTTGGAGCCCAACGCAAGACAAAAATCCTCTATATGGAAATCCTTGTCTTACTTTGTCCGCTAACCATTTTTCTACTTTATTATGAAGTTTAGAGTACATGAGTACATGAGCATGCGTGGTGAGGCATGCAATTCATTCACTGCCGTTGACAGGCAGCTATATCAATAGCATAAACCTGGGAGGGCTGGAAGTCATTTAGTTTATGGCACACCATCTCCTGACACCCCTTGAGCAGGCGACTGGTCGATCACGAACAATGCATTGGGCATCGCTGTTGTAGACAGACTGAAAATAGTGCACTCCATTTTCCATTTGAATCCATTTGGGTTTTACATCTCCTGGATTATGACATTTTTAAATTTCTCACCTCTGTGACTAACATCCAGGACAAATAGGGCGAAAAAAATGCAAGGCCTTGTCACTTTCTGTTATTTCATAGTTAAGAAGGTTGGAATTTCCCACAAAATAGAGTCTCAAAGAATTCCCATGGTTTTAAATGTGGAATGTATCGCATTATATGGACTTGGAAGACACTTACTTTGTAAATCACATTCACATGTTTACATACAGACATGACTAACATCCGGAGGGACAAAAAAATGAAATGTGGCTTCTAAGACTCAGAGTAGACTCTGACAGGATTCATTCTTTCATCAAACCATTAATTCCTCTTATATCTACAAAGTTGATCCAGAACAACAGCTGCGGGCAGCCAATTGTGAAGTCTGGCTAGCGAAGCGTTCATGCTTCACTTTGCGGAAGTGATTAGACACTTTGGGACGTCTCAGATGAGACTTCAGGTGTCAGCCTTTTGTTTGTGTCTTTAAACCAATCGTGTCATCTTTGAATCTTTTTCCATTGACTGTCATTGAAGTTTTCAAGGGGTAATAAAGATGACTATGTCCAAAGTCGAGGCTTCACGATAACATATATCATGGCATATATTTAGAAACAAATGATACACATGTATTTAACTTTTGTCCAGCTATAAGGAAAACAAAATGATCGCAAGTTTGGGTTCAAACCATCATGTCATCCGCCATTAGTTATTCTGGTTATTGTAGCACACACAGGCATCCGCTAACCTGGTTTCCGGGTGTAATTCTGTGATATTCGACATAAAAGTGATTGTGGCATGCTAAAGTTGACTTGAACTAGGTTAAAAACCTTTTTAAATATAAATGACGTGGTGATGACAAGAAAATGTGCTGAATCCAGAATGTGTTCTTCTTTGTCTGTCGTTGTCTTTGTTTTGCTGACCACCAGGAGGCGCTGGATTTACACCAGATCCTGCTCTCTTGGACTTTGGACAGTCCAGTCCTGAGGATGAAGACCTGTACAGCACTCGCTGATTTCAATACGGCTATCGTACATCTCATCTGGATTGACACACACCGTTGAAACACAGCATACATTGTGCACTTGTTTTTTTCATCTGAAAATACTCTTAATTCCTCCCGCAACCTTTTACTTTCAGCAAGAACCAAAAGCATATTTTTGTGGAAGAACAGATGTGTGTGCATGTGTCCTACAGATGGCTGACTGTGTAATCCTCACACTCTGATGTTTAACAACTATTTGCTGTTGCAGTCCCCACTGCCCTGAACGCACAGTGCAGTGCATCACCATGTTGAACAGTTGGAATGCCGTATGCTATCAGTAGTGATGATGAGAAAAAAAAGATGGATCTAAAGTTGTGCAATTTCGTTATCGTCCAAAAACGTCCACTTATTGATTAAATAAGTCAAATAAAGCTCTATTTTTCTTGCATCCATGTTCAGTTGTCTGCTTCAACAACATTACTTTGTACTGCACGCCGATGTTTTCCTCACGGAACCTGTTGTAGCTTGTCCATTTTGAATTCTGCAAGGCGCAAGAAGGCTGAGGTTGACTTTTGAGTGCTCAAGCAAACAGTTTTAAACACCTTACATGTATTTATTTTTATTTATTCATTTATTTTGCACAGTCTAGAAGAATGACAAGATAACAAAACAGACAAAACAATTGTGCAGAAGAACCCCATGAACTTATATAAAATCCTCCCCCACAAAATGTAAGTCTTATCGACAAAAAAAGTAAAGAATATGTATACAATAATATAACTACAATATCCAATAATAAAGTGATATAATACAAAAACGAGTCAAGAGTAAGACAAGAAATGGCAATGACTTATACAATAAAGATGGACCATTTTGTCTTAATTTAATTTTGTATATATTTTTTTTTTACTAACAAAGACAAAAGATAGCTCCTCAAACCAGATTTGTAAGCCGATATGATGTTAAGAGACGTGTCTAATGAGGTTCAGTGTTTGAGACCACAGAATTTAATGAGAAATGTATGCAGAACGAAGACTGTGACGGTACGAGAACAAGATGATGAAATGTTTATTTGGTTTCTTAGTGAGTAGGGATAAACAGTTCTGAAAAGTGCCTGGAATGGTGTGATGGATGTATTTAAACATGAACAGACCTGTTTGCAGCATATTAATAGAAAAAGTAGATAGGTAAATGTTAACATTTATTCAATAAGGTTGCGCATAATGCTCAAATGGTTTTTGATAATTCCCCAAAAGCTTTGATGTATTCAAAGTATCTGTTTAAGGTAAGATAAATAAGCAACGGACGATGTTACAGTATGCCAAATATGGACAAATTAAGCTGCAGTAAACATGGTCAAATGAAAATTGGTTTGTAGTTATTCCAAACATTGGGCTCTCCTTCTTTGAAGACAGGTAACATCTTAGCCACTCCCAGAAGTTCATATTAAACTTGAGAATGGTTTATTTTGTTGCATCAATAGTCCCGAAAGCCTAAAAGACTGCCTGACCCGATTTGGCAGCGTCAGCAAGGGTTAAAGGTCAGGTTACGTGTTATGTCAGCTCTCTGGGCTGCCATTTTTATGGTTTCATTTAATTAAGAATGTGCTGTGCTGTATGGTGACATGGTGTTTAGCACTCTGAAAATTCGAAGCAAAGAAGCAGAGTTGGTTCAAGAAAATTGCAAAGAAAAACATCGACTGCCATGTTGAAGCTAAAGACGATAAGGCCGTCACCGAGCAGCTCAATGTCCTTGTGACTAAACCACTGTATTCAAGTTGGCCGGACATAACAAGTGGCAATGTAAAATTGCCGGCGGCGGCTTCACTCCTCCCGACGGCGAGTAAGCAGCAGCGATTTATGTCAAATCAACATTAATTGTGGATCATGTCCACAATGATAGATGTACTTAATTACGTTATATTTATCAGCGTTGTAACAATTGGAACAACTTAATCGGTGAATTCCATCATATTTTACTGAGTGATTTCGATTACCGGTATTTGATGTTTGTTTCTGTCCTCATGGAGTCATAGTAACTATCACATCGAAACACAATTGTTCCCTCATATTCAAATATCTGCAAATATTGTCCTGTCGGATACACCAACACAGAGTGGATGGAACTAATATGAGCCCCATCCATCAGCATCTTCATCTCAATGACTGGAACGTTGAGCTTTGCTACCAGCCTCATTCCGTGGCGCTCCTGTCCCGCCTGTCAGTCACATCAATCTTAAATGTCACTTATCAGCAATGGAGGCATGCGGCGTTAACCTGCGACATTGACGCACATCCTTCCCAAAGATTGGAAATCTTTCATTTTTCTTGACGTCAGGCTCTGTGCTGTGTTTCTCACTGTGTGATTGTAACTTTGTAATTTACCATCAGTGTATTTTCCCTTGCACACAGCAATGCGTGCTGCTCTGAGCGTCTTCGCTATTTGTGAACTCTCATAGGTTCATGCGTACACCGCAAATGGAATGTTTTATAATTTTGATACCCAAAGGACATGGAAATTGTGCAAAGAACAAACCTCCACCATGAGCCACTAATTTTGATACCCAAAGGACATGGAAATTGTGCAATTTCGTCTATGCTTTGGGAAACTTTGTTGGTGCCACACATGCAATCTATTGACATCACCAAAGCATCTTGACGGCTCCTCGGAGGAATTGAACCTCCTAAAAGCAGTTGGATGTCAACCAGCGTAGCGACCCTGAGTGACTCTGTGCTGGTTCACGTGTGACCCAGAGGAAAAAAAAAAAGAGTGAAAAAGCTGTCAGATGAAGACATCTTGTGACCTAATTTTCCTCATCCTTTGGATAAACAAGCATCTGGGAATGGGGCAGCTTGTGGCATCACTTTTTGTGCTGCTGGCTTGAACTGAGGGGATGTTCAACCCGCCCCCCTCCTTTTTTTTTTAAACCTATTGGATGTCACAAACAAGTCTGAATGATTATCCACCGTAGCCGTAGTTCAACTGACCAATAATGTACCAGTAATTTAATCTACAACTGGCAACATAAATAGCGTGAATCTCATGTTAAGACAATATCATCATTTTGCAATATCATAAAATGCTTTACTGCATAGTTTATTTTGTCAACACCACCAGTACTGCAGCCAATCGACATGATTTTGTTTAACGTCGGATATTGATCAGCCTGTTAGCTGGAATAAATTCAACATGATCACAATTGCATGGCGACTGGTCCAGGGTGTGCACTGCCTATCAGCTGCAATTCCGGACATGTGCTACAGAAAATGGATAGATTAATAATAATAAATATCCATCCATCCATCCATTTTCTGATCCGCTTTAGCCTCATAAGGGTCACGAGGGGTGCTGGGACCTATCCCAGCTGTCCTTGGGCAGTAGGCGGGGGACACCCTGAACCGGTTGCCAGCCAATCACAGAGCACACAGAGACGAACAACCATCCGCGCTCACACTCACACCTAGGGACAATTTAGAGCAGGGGTGTCAAACATACGGCCCGTGGGCCGGATCCGGCCCGCAAGTAGGTTCAATCAGGCCCGCAGGATAATGTAAAAGTGAAAAAAAATGCATTAAAGACACAGAATTAATATTTTTAATCAGGTGCAATTCATTGAGTATCCGCAAGGGGACACTGTTTTGATCAGAGAAGAAGACAACAGCAGCCTCAGTCTGTCACTGAGACAGACCCATGACAGCAGACGCTATCAATAGCACTCTCACATTTACACATTTAATAGCACTCTCCTTAGTTTGTAAAGTGCAGGCAGGGATTACATTTAGATTTTATATGCACGTGTAAATGCTTTAAAACTTGCTTTCTTTATGAATCTTGTTTAATCTTAAAGTGCATTACTATATTTTTCAATACCAATTACTTGTTAAAGTTTGTACAATCAGTGGGATCAGTTGCAATGCATATATGTGAATGATAAAAGTAAATTGCACATTTGTCGAAGGAAATGTAAGGTGCTTCATGAAATGTTTTGTAAAAGATATGTTCATTAAATTTCAACATTTTCCTAATGTTCTTGTGCTTCTTTATACCAAAACAAAGGAAAGACATATTGTTTTGGTTATTTATAGCAAAGTATTGTATCATTTTAATGGTCCGGCCCACTTGACATCTACCGAGGCCGTATGTGGCCCACCATGTGAAATGAGTTTGACACCCCTGATTTAGAGTGTTCAATAGGCCTGCCATGCATGTTTTTGGAATGTGGGAGGAAACCGGAGTACCTGGAGAAAACCCACGCAGGCCCTGGGAAACTCCACACAGGAAGGCCGGAGCCAGGATCGAACCCACGACCTCTGCACTGTGAGGTCTACGCGCTAACCAGTCGACCACCGGGCCGCCTAATAATAAATAATGCTTGTAAAATAATTGGAAAATATTATCCTCAGGTCGTAACCCCAATAGCCGGGTGCTGAAAACGTGTACTATGTTTGTGTACCAAACTGTCGAGCTTCATGCAAACTGGGATATTGACCCGATCTGTCAGCCTCTTTTATCCATGACAGAGTTGTGTAACCTGCTGCCTGTAGATGCACCCTACCCTCCCCTCACCCCGTGCCCTGCACCAGCACACAAACAGTAGCTCTAGTAATGTTCCGAGAACTTCATGTTCTACTGCACATCGTCACATTGCCGGCTGTGCTCCTGGAGTTTTCTCGCGCACAGAGGAAGTGGATTTTACAATCCTGACCTCCCACCTCTTACCCCAAGAGCCACATTTTCCACAGGGAGATAGCGTAAAGGGTCCAATTTGTGGTCACTGCCTTCCCAGGGTCTGACCGGCAAGGAAGGACCCCAACCATAAAATAAACACGGAGAACACTTGCCAACTAAACGTACAGTATAAACATACAAGGTTTAAGCAAGAGCGTTTCAAAAATGAACTGTGCGCGGCTCTTTATCAGCGCGCATGAGTTCTCTGTTGATCCTTGACACACTATAACAGATTTTAATACAAACAAACAAAAAGTAAATTAGGTTTTTGGGTGAGTAACATTGGAGCTGTCGACGTGTAATTGCAGCAAGAGTCGACAGCAAACCATTTTAACGAGCGCAAAGAGTGGAAACAAAATTCAGATAAGCTGCAAAATGATAATGGAATGAGGGGAAAAAAATAATTGCCTGTTTGATGAATGTTCATTAAGAGTTTAAGTTTGAGGTTGTTGCTCTCTGCTCTGCTTCCCTTCTAATCTGCAGCCCTCTACAGAGTCTCTGCAACAGCAACTGGAACGTCTGATGAGCAGACAGCAAGAGAGTCGCACCGCACGGTTCATCAATGAGCCTCACGGTTGGAGCCCAAGCGAAACGGAGGGCCGATTCCAATATGTTTGCAGGGGGAAACACATGCTCGAATGCCTTGAATTCAGTGTCTGCTCGTGCACTTCATGCTTTGCGCAGATCGATTGTCTGCAGATAGGAGAAAGTCAGCAAATGTTGACAAAGGTCAAAGGAACACTTTGAGTTAAAAACAAGTGAAAGGAAAAAGAAGGATTGAGAACATTACATGTACCACACTTTTATTGGGAGAATATACACTAAGCAGCCACAATATTATGATCACCCACTCAAAATCATAACATCCACACAAAAATATTCCGTTTTTGATTCACACTGTCTGCGAGGTAGTTTTGAGCGGTGTTGATTGAATATCATCATATTGTCCAAGTGGTCATAATGTTGTGGCTGGTCATTTCATATTGATGTGTAAAGCCCAAGGCCACCTCTCCCTTGGTTGTTGTTTTTTTTTTTTTTTTGGGAGGGGGTGGAGGGTGCTGTTTTATTGACATTTTCCCACAGTATTTATTTTGGCACGTTAAAACAGAATTAACAGTGTGCTTTATCCAGCAGAATTAGGCAAAGGATAAAAACCTAACTTTGGAGAAGTCGAAAGGTTTCGCCCCTTGACGAACGATACCGTCAATGGAGCTCGCCCATCCACCAAGAATTATAATTGCATAATTGACCATCTGTTCATCCTCCTTCATGAACTGGGAAGTAGCTTGCCAACTGACAAACAGATGGACAGACACAAACACAAATCCTGTACAGCATTCCGACTATTTTATAATGAGTGCATATACTTTTGGACATTATAACTACCATTAGAAATGTCCACTTAATGTAGAAAATTGTGATGCTGTAGGCCTAATAACACTGGTCAACAGCGAATGTTATGCTGTGTGTGTGTCCCAAAATGTACATATATATATATATATTATTATCCGAGCATTTGGAAAGGCAAATTTCTGCTGCATTCTGCCAGGCCTTCATCTGTCCTCCTCAGTGTCAACTTTCTCACAGCTATTAGGACACGTCACGTTCTGATAGATAGTCAATGGAGCAGAGTGCACACACATCTGAACGGGTGCGTAAACAGAGGCGTGCATGGCAAGGTTAGATTAAGTGTATCAGCTTGACCAGCTCCTGCATTGAAGCAGACACACATGGCCGCTCACGCCATTGATCATGTAAAATCTGCGATGTAATCAGTCATAGAGCTCTGCATGCATCCCTCATTAACTTGCACCCGAGGCCTTAATGAAAAACCACTGGAGAGAATCTGTGCATTCACTGTTTTCACCCCCCAACCCCTTTCTCCCTTTCTGCTTCCCAGCTCTACTTTCACGCCCTGCAATAAATGCTCGTCCTCCTTCTCGTTCATCTCAACGTCCGCCCTCCCCCGAATGCCCCAGCGGCTGGCTTGACTTCCGCTGAGACAAAGTAAATATTTCCCATGGCTTATCTGACCGCTGGCAGAGGAGGACAGTGCGAGGATAATTAACAAGTAGCCTCCATATGACAGGCCTCGGTGGGGTTAAGATCATGTGGCTACCTTAAACCTCACCAGGCTTTCATCAGCTCAGGACCCAACTTGAAAATTCAGTTTCTTCTTGGTTCCTTTGTTACACCATCTCATGCTTATTGCATAACACCAGAAAGCCACATTTCTCAACTCCTCTTTTTTTATGCATGATGATGAAAACCTCCCATTCATCAAGGCTTAGAACTTGGGCTAGCAATCTCTATGGTTGTCTGGGTGTTGGAGCATTGGCCAGGGAACAACCGACAAGAGCAACATGAAAGCCAGTTATGCTGCATACCACAACAATTTGAATTTTCACAACATTGGCTAACGCAAAAAAAAAAAAAAAAAAAGAACAATCAAAAACACAACGTATCGGAATCAAATAGAAGCAATGAATTGTGTCTCTCTTCGATGAGCAGAAAATCTCATCCATTGAAAGCCCAATGAAAAAGGCTATGTGGCTGCATGCGTGCAAAAGTCCCATCTTGACTTGATTATCTCATTGTTCGTTCTTTTCCTAGAGAACAAAAAGGAGGGGTAGAATGAAAACAATATATTTGTGCAGATTGGCTGGTGTCCAGGTACAGCTCCGCCTCTCTGACGATGACAACGTGACGTCGTGTGCACCTTCCCCTGTTGTGCAATCATCACAGGGGCTATAAGACCCCCCCGCCGCAGCCTCATCTGGTTTCTCAGAGGCTCCAGACCGTGTCCGGCGCTCACACCCTCCGAGGCATGACATGGTTCAGGATTCTTCATAGCGAGCGGGTCAACGCAAAGACATGGACTTCAGCCAAATGAGGCATTAAAAACAGCTCAACCTATTGGACTGGACAAACAAACACTTGAGGTAAAATATGTTATTGCTTCAATGAATGACATTACTCTGTGTTGTTAGTTTTATAAGTCTAAACATCCTTATTTCATGAAGTTGAAAAAAAATGTGCTCATGTAATCCCCCGTCTTTGCCTCCCTTGACAGCCTTCTTTGAATTTCATTACGCCTTTACTGATAATGTATTCTTCCAATGCAACCAAAGCAGCTACTTTATCTCGATCCCCCATCTAATATCAAACAAAACTGGACACAATGTTCACAGATGGCATGAATGTTTCAAAACCTTACTTTCAGGTATGAATATGGAGTGCATGTTTCGGTGAAATCCGATGCCGCCAGCACATCTTCGTTTGGGTTTCGACGCAAGAGTTGTTTGAACTTGTATTGATGGCCCAGTAAAATATTTGAGCCAAATGCTAAGTTTGGCTCACAGAATACCAAATCGTTATCCATAAAAGGCTCCTTTTTGTTTCTCTCCAGTTGACCTTGGAGCGCTGAAAGAAGCGGAGTGGAATTGTTCCATGATGGCAGTCCCGAATGACAGCTTCAGTTTGAACTCCACCTTCTCGCCTTATACAAGCAAAAACAGCGAGAACGCGTCTGGTTGCGCAGACTGGCCACGGGTGCCTATGACCACCATCATCCCCACTATCTACAGCATTATCTGCGTTCTGGGCATCATTGCCAATACCCTTGCTGTGTGTGTGTTGGCCCACACCAGCGCCTCAAGAAGAACTGTGGCCAACACGTTCATGCTGAACCTTTGCATATCGGACCTTTTGTTCCTGCTGTCTCTCCCGCTGTGGGCTGTCTACTACTCGCAAGGCTACAGCTGGCCCTTCGGACGAGTGACTTGCAAGATCTCCGGTAGTCTCCATAATCTCAACCTGTATGCCTCCATATTCTTCATCACTTGCATGAGCATGGACCGCTACCTTGCTCTGGTGCACCCACTGCGCTCTCAGAGTGTTCGAGACCTGAAACGGGCCAAGCTCATGTGCGTCCTGGTGTGGGTTATGGCATTTGCTTGCACGGCGCCAACCATAGCGCTGAGGGACACTCATTATATCGAGGCGTATGACGTGGAAGCTTGCGTGATGATCTATCCGGATGCCACCTGGTATCCGAGACTGGCCTGGATGAAAGTACTCCTGGGCTTTTTGCTGCCGATGCTCATCATTACTTGTTGCTACTGTGCTATTGGCAGACATTTCTTGGCTGGTTCCGGCCTCGTAAGCCTGCGGAAACCGTCGCGCTCTGCCAGCGCATTTAAATGCTCTGGGTCACAGGACGGCTGCGCTAAACCGGAGAGACCCCCGACCCCCTGTGTGAACCCCGGCTCCGGAGGAGGCAGACCCATGGAGGGAAGGGGGCTGGAAAGGGTCCTGTGGACCGTGGCTGCTGTCGTTTTGGCCTTCTTCCTTTGCTGGTTCCCCTTCCACTGCGTGACATTTATAGACATACTGAAGAGTGATGACTGGCTGGACGGTTGCTGGGCCCAGTGGGCCATCCAGAATCTCACACCCCTCACCCTCTGCTTGGGCTTCTCCAACTCTGCCATCAACCCAGTGCTGTACTGCTTCATCGGGAATCATTTCCGGGGCCGACTGGGCACCCTTAGTAAGGGTCTGTGTGTGCATTTGAAGGCACGTGAAGAGGATCACAGTCAGAAGAGGGGCTCCTTCAGCACTCGGCTCAGTTCTTTCTCCCGAAAACTCAGCGACTTGAAAGATCTGGCGGTTGTTGACGCCTCTGCGCATGCTTAGGCGACTGAAGAGGGAACACTGGGCAGAACAGTGAGGAACAAATTCATGTAACCCAGAGGTTTCATTATATGACTTCCTTCTGTGTCTTTGGACAAAAAGAAAAATGAATCCCTGGTGAAAAAAAACTTCAGTTCAGTTGTTGTGCCTTTAGGTGTCCTTCGTCAATGCACTGAAAGGGTTAAGTAAATCGAGATAACTTCGACGACGATTGTATCTTCTTCTATACATGTTGTTCAAGAAATCAATTGCAGCAGCTTTCAGTCAGACCAACAACACATTTTAATGGATTTATCTGTGCGATTTGTGCATTTCATGACATCAAAATCACCAATGTATCACTCCTCCCTCACCATCAAGACTTTTCTAGGTTCTAATGTCCACTCCAAATCTTATCCCTGTGCTTGTGGGCCCCCCCCCCCCCCCACCCAGTATTCCGACTTCATATAACAGGTTATGGACTTCTGCACAAATGAAAAACAAAAGAGGAAACGAGTTCTCATAAGGAAGGAGACGAGTTCTCATATCGGAACTGCATCAAAAATTCTGCCTTGACAAAGATATAAATGCTCAATTTTTCTTGACACTGTCCGAGAGGTATTCATTTAACAATTTGTTTATTAGGTTGTGAAAACGCACTTCAACATACTGAAGACTGTGTCTCATATTATGACTCAATACATTTCTATACCCACTGTACCTAATGCTATCTCTCAAGCTATTAAAAGGGGAAGTTTCAAATGTTTTGCTTTGCTTTGCTAGTGCTCAACTTTACTTTGCCATTCAGGTCTTACCACTGGAAAAAAAAATGTCACGGTGTTATGCCTCTTCATAGTGTTATATCTACCGTAGCTAAATCCAAGATACTCAAAACCTGGCCAGGGCATTAAGCAGAAATCATTTGAGGTTTAACGGCATCTACAATTGTAAAACTTTATTGCGACAGTACACTGAAAAAAAAAATGTGATGAATTTACTCTTTTTTATTATGTTAGGTGGTTACACACAATGAAATCATTTGGATCTAGATAAACAAACATTTTAAGTCGATATATAGTCTAATTAAAAAGTGTCGGAATCTAGATGCTTTTGCTTGCAAACATTTGACAAAATAAATTTGAATATATTCAACACACCATTTTTTTCAGTGTACTGTCGCAATAAAGTTTTACAATTGTAGACGCCATTAAACCTCAAATTATTTCTGCTTAATGCCCTGGCCAAGTTTTGAGTATCTTGGATGAAGCTACGGTAGATATAACACCAAGAAGTGGCATAACACTGTGACATGTTGTTTCTAGATTATGTATGAAGTTATCGGATTCATTTAAGATGGTGCACACAACCGTATTTCTTGCAAATGACATCATAATACCAAACAAAACAAAAACAAAATGAACAGCATTGGGAACGACCATGATCAAGTTTTATATCTCAGTAAAGGTTGATACACTTGTTTGTAAATCCAAATGATATTTAAACTGCTAAAACATAATTATTAATAAACACTGAACACATATATTTATGAATACTTTGATTTCTGACTTCACAGCGGAGCATAGTGAGCTCGAATTTGGCCATTAAAATGGTGAATTCAGTTCCTCGACATAAATGGTGAAATGGTAAGTGTTCACTTCCTGAGCTTCAATGTTCTCTTCATGACAGGTGGTTCTCTTCATACATTTGTCAAGAGCTGTATTATAGCAAGATATGGTCATTAGGAATACCAATCCATAGTATAGAAAACTGTATACACTGCATTGACATTGTATCATTTCCAAATATAATTACTAGCAATGTATTTGCCTGAATTAAAAAATAAAATGAAAAAGATGACAGGTATATGTTGAGTCCCTCCTACATATCAACGCTGCCTATCATAGTCTTATACAAATGCTCTGATCATGCATTCCACTCCAAACACTTGTGTTGTGCTAATCAATGGAGTGTCTCTGTCTGCTACTTGTGTCTGGTATAGATCCTCCACATACCACACTGACCCTGGCCTGCCCCTGTGTGTGCTGGAAGCTTAGAGAGTGTTTGTACAGCTATGTGTTTTCCCTGCTGAAAGCCACCCAACAAAATTACTGCTAGTTATTTTGTTCATGATAAACAATTTGATAGTAGCGGCAATGAAAGATGTACATTTTTTTTTAGAAATGTACATTTTCTATTTTATATAGATATTTTTTCTGTGGTACGGTACAAAACTGGTTAGCACATCCGCTTCACAGTGCATAGGTCCTGGGTTCGATTCCGGCCGCAACCTTCCTGTGTGGCGTTTGCATGTTCTCCCCATGCCTGCGTGGTTTTTCTCCGGTTTCCTCCCACATCCCAAAAACATGCACTGTCGGTTGATTCAGCGCTCTAAATTGTCTCTATGTGTGATTGTGAGTGTGAATGGTTGTTTGTTTACGTGTACCCTGCGATTGGCTGGCAACCACTTCAGGGTGTATCTTGCCTACCGCCCGAAGACAGCATTGGGATTTAATTGAAGTGAGATATTCCGATAATTCTGTAATGGCTGCAAGTTTAATTTGAAAAACAAAACAAAACAAAACAAAAAAACACATTGGCCGACAGGGAATGCACTATACCGTTCTCCAGTATCATCATTAGGCAGGGCAACTTAATTTATGTATTTCATACAGAGGGTAACTCAATGTGCTTCACATAATAACTAAAAAAAAACCCAACAAGATTTAGGAACATTTGATATTAAAGACATGGATTTAAAAGCATCATTTGGCAAATTTTAATTTATTTAATTTATGGTCAGCTGTCAATGTTAGCAAAGGGTAACATGTTGCTTTGATCGCATAAAGCCTGAGCCAAGGCAATTTGCCTCTTTTCCTATGAATGTTAATGAAAAAAAACGTACTTCTGCTTTACCAAGTATCTGTACTTTTATTTAAGTACAGCGTGAGTACTTTTACCACAGATTACCACAGGCTGGTATCTTTTATCTATAATATTCAGTACTACCCAACCAAGCAAGGGTAAAAAAAAATGCTTCCTAATGCAGCTAATCTTTCGAATTGACCACTGAGTGGCGCTAACATGCTGCAGATGCATTAAGCTGTCAGACAGGACCTTGCACGCTGCTTACCCACACAGTCAACCCAGAAGCCCCATGTTCATGATCTTTGCAAGCTGAGGGAAGGAGAGACCTGATACAGACTGATCACTCGGCGGCTACACTTGTGGATGTAGAAACCTCGAAACTAATCCTGGCCGAAAAATTCTCAGGGCCAAAACCATGCAGGCTGCTTACCCACACAGTCAACCCAGAAGCCCCATGTTCATGATCTTTGCAAGCTGAGGAGGAGAGCCGTGATACAGCCTGATCACTGGGGGGCTACGGTTGTGGATGTAGAAACCTCGAAACTAATCCCGAGTGAAAAATTCTCAGGCCCAAAACTGTTTTCGGTACGAGCATGTGGTCATTTGTGCCAAGGACGCCATGTAGGCATATGTGGCCTCCTAGCCTGCAATGACATAGCAGATGCTGTAGCACACGCTGAACAAAATGTGCACATGACACTCAATATTTTAATCACCAGCTCCTGTTTACAGCAACGCTTGACACCACAGCAACTCTACAACTGACAGGACAGATTGCAAGTGGAGTTTGGAGCAGCGCTGCACGATGTTGAGACACACACGGCTTCATTAGTTGCTTCCTCGCTGTTCTGTGGCTGAGGTGTACGCGTCCTTGACACGCGATCAATAGAAGGCATTGGTGAGCTAGAAATAAGAAAATGAAGTGTGGGCGACTCTTTGGGTGCCTGCCTGCAAATTTGTGAAAACAGCGATCAAGTGTCTTTCAGCTCAAAAATGTCAAAGCTGTACAAATGTAAGCATGACTTGCTGCTAATTGTGCTGTGGATGATGACTATCTTTCAAATCTCTGAAACTGCTCAGTGTTGTGCTGTTTGTTCTAAATGGTTCCCTTTTTTGTTGTATATGCAATGAATGACACAATATTGTCAGCTATTTTGCAGAAATAGAAATACAAGGAACCTTGACTTGAATATTTCTTTCTGTGTATCATTTGGTGGATTTAGTTTAAGTCAAGGTTTCTGTGTTCCAGGACTACAACCATGGAAGGTGGGTGAGGGTCCATCGCCACGTCCTCTCACTGACAATGCAGATGTTTTTTTTGTTCGCCACATTCTTCCATCAGTCTCAGAGTCACATTCCCCCGCCTTCACAACGAACAAAGGAATTTTAAATAGTTCGCTCTTATATTTTAAAAAAAAAAAAAAAAAAACAATTGTCGTATTTCTAGCAGTTCCACACAATTCTATTTTGTTTGCGAAGCACAAAGTTAATGGCGGATCAATTTAACGCTATCGTATTAATATAGAAACATGCTTGTAAATGTATGGAACGTCTTTTTTGGTGTTCTGTGTGACAGTTAAAATACTTTTTTTTTTCCTGCAGCACAATATTGTCAAATGAATTTTATGAGCTGCTCATGTGTTCCATTATATGAATGACAAGACTTACTTCTGCTTTTTAAGGTTGTTAAATGTCAATGTGGTGGTTTCTCAGCAATGTATATCGTTGACTTCAGACTGAAACATTGTCACAATTATAAATTTCAAATTTTTTCCCCACATATCTACGCAATTGGTTGGTCCACGTGTGGATGTTATTTGTACAAATTATTGGCTGGTGTGAAGGGTTGAAAATGGCTTGCTGGAAAAAAAAAATTACAATTATTAAGAGATTTTTGTGTATTTGTGTTTTTAGATATGATTTGAGTGAATGAGCCATTGATTGCAATATGCAAAATAGCGTCGGCCGTCAGAGACAATTGATGACTATAATTGGCGGTTAGCTAGCGAAACAGTACAGGTGGTACGAGTAGAGTTTGCGATAGTACACAAAAGCAAAGCCACTGCAAAGAAAATGGCATGATCCAGTAAATTCAGCTCAGCAAAATGTTGCATTTTATTTAGGCTTGTTCCTGCTTGGTTAATGAATGTGATGGGCATTGTTCTGTAAATGTGTGAATTTTATTAATGAAACCCTGATTGTGGATGGTATGATGAAGAATGACACACGCGTGCATGAACAGCTACCCATCCACCGATATGGCGTGTTAAACCAATTGAATAAATTCTAACTCCCCTCTGCCTTCTATACATTTGCACTTAAGAAAAAAAAAAGGGGAAGGCTGCTGAGCAATGAGCCACGTGGTTCAAAGTGCGCTTGCCGCCGTCAGTTTCGGATCAGGGTAAGAGAAGACATAGCCTCGCTGGCTTTCAGTTTGGGCCATACAGGTCACTGAACCAAAATTTTGGATTTAAAAAGCTGAATGTAAGAAGAAGAAAAAGGGAGACCGTATTGTGTTTAAGTTACAAAACCACAACAAAGCAGTTGTGGTATGTAACTTCACTTCTTGAAAAGCTAAGATGGAAAATCTATCAGTCTACCACGGACCCATTGGAAAGAAGGAGGGCGAGAGGCGACTGGCTCTGGATGGACGCGATGGATGCTTCTTGGTGCGAAACAGTGACTCTGTACCCGATGTCTACTGCCTTTGTGTGCTGTGAGTAAAAGGGCAACTTTGACTACCGGTACTTCTTTTTAGTGGGCATGCAGTGATATATATATAGATATATCTATCTATCTATCTATCTATCTATATATATATTTAGATAGATAGATAGATAGATAGATAGATAGATAGATAGATAGATAGATAGATAGATAGATAGATAGATAGATAGATAGATAGATAGATAGATAGATAGATAGATAGATAGATAGATACATGTCATCCTTTTTGTACACACTGTGTGTGTGTGTGTGTGTGTGTGTGTGTGTGTGTGTGTGTGTGTGTGTGTGTGTGTGTGTGTGTGTGTGTGTGTGTGTGCAGGTGCAACGGAATTGTCTTCACATACAGACTTCAACAACATGATGGAGGATCATGGGCCGCAGATGTAAGATTTCTAAACCACAATCATTTGATTGACATCAGTTTATTGTTGAGCATAGCAAGACACACTGAGCAATTATATGCGTTTGTCTTTGCGGGAAAAGCTTGGTGAAGGCCCTTTTTAGTTCCAGTCTGAAAGGTAGTGCAGACTTGATCTCAACCCTATTGGTCACTTTTGGGATAAACTGCAGTCACGATCGCAAACCATTGTCGTGTAACGTAGAATCTCAAATTTGGAAAACCCCGAGGCGTTGAATTCAGCATCCATACAAAATTGTGCCCAGTTGTGTGTCCATTATTATTTGTCTCCATTGCGTTAGGTTTCATCTTCTGACAGGGATCTCAGTACTTTCCTCAGTGGTGCCATAAATCCGGGTAAATAATTTAGTGTTATTAGTCGTAACTTATTTTTACACATGTATTCCATTGTTAAAATGTTTCTGAAAAATAAGGTTTAATCTCGTTTCTGATGGTGACAATTTGACCCGAGGGCAAAATTAATTAAATTTCTATCATTTCCAAATCGGAAATGTGGATTTTAAAATTGAACAAAGTCAAGGTCAAACAGATCTTTGTCTTCAAATGTGAAAGGTTTCTTTGATTTGTATCAAGTTGCGATTTCTGAGGAGGGAAATCTGTGTAAAATCAGTGCATTCCTTTACCTTTGTGAAATAGTTGTAAATGTCAGAAATTGCAGCCTGTGGCTGAGGAGATGTGGAGGAGGGGAAGGTGGGTGCCAAGGGGCTACCAACCGGTCCCGGACATTCGCAAGATATCGGCAATAACTTTACATATCGTCCATCCACATGCTCCGTCTTAGAAATGTTGTTAGGGGGGCATCGGTCATGCACTCGCCCCAGGCATCCACTGTGCTTTGAACACCACTGATTCAGTTGATCTGAGAAAATAATTTATCAATGTATTTTGGAATATGCTGCAGGCGCACGCTGATTTCTGACGGGGCTACAACCCCACAATAGCCCCCGTGATTGGAGCTCTTTGGATGTGGAATGCAGCATTGCACCTGATAGAATTTCAGATGATTGAAGCTGCGAACATATAGTGACATCTTAATATTGTCTTGTCTCTGCCTGTTGTGACACGTGCTGCGTGCCATCAAGTTGTACACTGACACTATCAATCAAGCCGCACTGACGAGGACAAACACGGATTGCGCTACAAGCTCAATATTCATAACCAATATTACTTGAATGAAATATTTTTCACAGTAATACTTGCAGCCAGAGAGAGAGAGAGAGAGAGAGAAATGCATAGAGATTTGACAAACACAATCTCCGTGTTAGATTGAATGATTGCAAAATGCATTCAAGTTATTTTTTTTTCAGTGTGACCGAAAGGAAAGAATCTAATGTAATAACAACGGATGAAAGCTTCTTACTTGACAAAGCCACACCATTTCCAAATGTTCAATGTAGCTCGCGCAAGTGAGTGCGCTTCCATTTTGCCAGGTGTACGGGATCACTTCCAAACATTTTGGGTTATTTTGAAGCCACATATGTTTGTGTTGTTTCAATTTTAATTGGTCGCAATGGAAGCTCCGCAGATAATGGCACGTATTTCAAAAATGTGCTTGCTATCAACATAAATATATATATATTTTTGGTTGTTGACAAACAGCATGTGAAAAAGCCTAAGGGGAGTGGAGAACTCGCTGTGTGCATTTTCCTAATTTAGCCACCAATGCCCCAGTGCTTTATTTTCCCATCTGCTATCATCGCTTATTCTCTCTTCTATTAATACTCTTTCATGAGAGTTCTGCCAAATTGATTGAGTCATATATGAAACATTTTTTTAATAGATCCTTTAGATATCTCTGTAGAATTTTCATTCTTTATTATTTTGTTCAGTACGGGTGTCTCATTTCATTCAAACTAACCAGCTCTTCTCCTCATTTTTTCCTCATGATGTCAAGATGAAGTCTATGAATTCTCCTCTGCTCTTGCTTTACTTTCTTTCTTCCCCCCCAGACGATTCCTGGTGTGCCGAAACGACATTTCCGTAAAATCAAGAACTTGATCGCAGCTTTCCAGCAGCCCGGACAAGGAATTGCCATCCCTCTGCTTTACCCTGTCACTGCCCAGGGATGGGTACAAACACCCACAGAGGTGCAGACGCCCAGTAATAGCCTGTCACCACCACACAGCAGCTCGAGTACTCTCCTCCAGTCGTATGTTGCTCAGGGACAGGAAAATGAGGGGAAAAATGTGATGGGAACTCTTGGCTAGCCACAAGGTACAGTACAATATATTTGAAGTATTCATTTCAAACTCAACTTCTGATTGTCTTTTGACACTGTCATGTTTTGTTGATACAGAAGGTCTCTATTCAAGCCCTCCTCTTCAATCACTTTCAATCAAAATGCACTCAATTAATGTTATTTAATGCGGCTTAGTTCCCATTTTACAGCTTTAACTAAATGTGTGTGTCAAAATATATTCATATGAACCGTTTTGCATTCATGCAGAGTGAATCAATTCAAATGTTCAGCAAAGATACCAATTCATCAAATAAAAAAACGATGAGTAACTGTGGGCCTCACTGAATACTTGCAGTATTTTTTTTTTTTTTTGTCGGGGGGGCCACACAAACTCTCATGCCTTACTAGGAAATGTGATGTAAAATATTCATACTGAAACTTTCATATTACTGTTTACATACATTGACAAGAAATGTATGTTTTTGTGAGTGACAAGGAAAAAGCATATTCGTGCAATATGCTGCATAAATGAGTTCTCGTTCGCTCTTTGACACACCCGCACCCACACACACGCAGACCCACATGGGAACAAAATTCAATTTGATATATTGAAGTGCTGATCTCCGTGGCTAGAGTGCTGACTGTTGGGGTAGAATGGGGAGGGTGCGCGCTACTGTCATTTTTGTGATTGGCATGACTGGCTACTCTAGAAGAAAAAAAAAATAGAAGAAGTGTGAGCGTGACACGGAAATAGGGGGAGAGTGTGAGCATCCATTCGGCCGGGACGGTGGTCTCCTAGCAACCGGACTTTCCCTCTTTTCAGCACCGAGATGAGGCTGGGCAGTATCTAATGAAGCATATGGTTTCGGAAAGGAAAGGAAGGCGCGTCGCAAAGAGCTGGTGGTGAACGTATATCACCTGCTTCCAGTTGCAACATATGCAGTGTGGGGCTCTGTCATCCGCAGCCCATGAGAGAAACACAAACAATTAATGGTGGGCAGATGGTGGAGTGACGCAGGGAGGGGAGGCATGTGGCTAGGGGGACGCAGATGGAGGAGGAGGTGGAAGAGTGAAAGCTCGTTTAAAAAATCTTAGCATAAACTTTTTTTTGGGGAGGGGAAGGAGACGAAGCTTGGAAGTGGTTCACGTGGATCCTGATTGGCATTTCCTAATGAGACCAGAAAAGCTGTAGAGTACGCTGTAGCCAACTCCAAGGTGCTGCCCCTTCTGCACTCGCCACCCACTCACTGTGCTTCAGCTGTCACATTTCTTCCACCCGACCCTTTCCTCTTTTCTCCTCGTCCTCCTTCTTCTTCTTTTCCTGTGACAGATGCGTGTTTCTCATGCAATGCTCAGTTGGAGCCATAACGATGGGCGATAATGACAGCACAGATTTGAGAGCGACAATCTCCCCGAGACGAGAACAAAGCGCGAACGACAAATGTTTTGCAAGGGAGGCGAATGAGGACACACAGAGAAGGTGCAGAGCCAAATAACAAGCCAGAACGCCATCCCAGGGAGCACTGGGATTATTCACACATAATAACTTTAATCAGCATTGGAACCCCATAAAGTCAGATTTTTTTTTTTCAGCGAGAATATTTACTATAGCCATGTATAATTCTTTGCAAAAATGTAACTGCTCTTTCTATTGATTAACAATACTGACACTTACTTATGAACAACAGAACTTCCAGTTGAGCACTTTTTTTTTTTTCCTCAGTGTGAAAGCACTGGCTATGTACATTCTTGATTGGAGTACACACACGCATACAAACTACTGTTGGGGCACAGCAGAGGCAGCGACCCAGAAGAAGTTCCCTCCTCTTTTCGGGAAGTGTCAGAGTCGACAAGGCCTCTCTTGCACATGACGTAAACGGGAGTATATCCGGAGTAATTGGCAACTAGAGTGCTCTTGATTTGAGTCATGAAGGAGATAATTTACTGGCAACCGTAGAAGTCTTCAGCTTGGGTAAATTAGAACAAAATCGAAAGTGAAGAAGAGTGTTTAGGACAGCAGAAGCGTCAGTTAACTCCCTGGCTAGCAGGGATACAAAAAGCAAAGCCACAACCAGACCACACTTGCTTGTGCCACTGTTAGAAACCAGACAATAATAATAAAATACCATCATTCTGTCACAGTTAAAGGCAATTTTGGAAATCTTTTTCCCCTAATCTCTCGTCTTGTTCTTTTTTGATGATGTCACCTTTTTTTCATACAGTATAGAAAGGGTAGAACAAATTGGAGTCGAGTAGAAACAGGCAGTCTTTGGTGGGCTGGGATGGGAGAGCCGCTTCAGTGTTACCTGCCTCCCACCTCGCTTAGAGTCATGAAGTGGATGTTGTAGGGGCAGTCGGACAGCTCTGTCTGCTGCTCTATAGGCAGAGAGTAGTAGCCGTCGTAACCCTGCACACGTCCGGCAGACAGCAGCTGCTGCTTCTCCACATCGCTCCACGTTCGGCTCCCGGCGTCGCCTAACTCCACTCTCTTCCTCTCGTGGTCCCACGCCCCCTCCACTGCTCTCCGCCGAGCCTCCTCCCTCACCCTCGCTCTTTCCTCCTCCTCATTGCCGCCATAACGGATGCACAAGCACAGCGTCCCCTGCTGGAGAGTGATGTCAGCGAACCGACGAGTCCTGCCGTTGAGCATGGCACTCATTTGCGATACGCTCACGTTGACTCCACTCTCTAGGACGCGCCCACCGACCCCTAAACCCAAAGCGAGGTCTTCCTCAATAGGTCGGGACTGCAGGAAGTGGTGGCTGTCGCAGCCGTGCACTGTGAAACTCAGCCCGTCGAGGTAAACGGCGCCGTTCAAAATGGCAGCCACTCGCCGACTGTCCTCGCTGGCCACACCGATAACTTCGGCGCTCACGCGGCTGTGGGAGATGGCAAAGCGGATGCTGGGCCCGAGAAGAAAGGGCCGGGAACCGAAGGGAGGAGGTCGTGTTGGTCGGTGGCAGGTTGAGCCAACGGGTGCTGAGACTAGAGGCAAACGCTCCAAAGAGATGAAACGTCTCAGCTGCCTGCGGAGCTCACATTGGATTCCCAAAACCACCTAAACGGAAGAAGCGCAATTATTCGACTCCAGCCTACTCACGTTTTGGCATTGACGGATTCACATATTTGCAGATTGTTTGTTTATTTATTTATTTTTTAAATGAAAACCCTTTTCTTTTTAAATATATCTTTTGTCTCCATTATTTCTGTGTGTGTATTTTGTTTTTGTTTTTTTTAATTTTCATTGTGGGGTTTATATATCAAAAAATTGAAGAACGAATACCGGTAACCTAAAAGTATCTGACAATGAACATACTTCATTAGATTTGGATCAAAAAAGAAAATGTGATGTCACACCAACTATTTTTCTAAAAAGGTTGATATTTTATTTATTATCTAGAGTGGGTTGAGGTTTTAGATACTTTCAGTTAATTTAGGACCGTTTGTGTGAGGCTCTGAGTCATGACAAGTGAAAACAGAAAACACAAAACATTTTGCTTTTCCATCCGAACATAGCAATGAATACCACTTCATGTATGTGTTTGTTTAGACTTCGCAAATAGAACCGCAATGAGGGTATCCACCTTGCTCGAGTCCCAGTCTTGGGTCTTGGTTTGAGTCTTCATCAGTTCATATGTTTGTTCCAAGCGGCTGATCTCAGGCTTTGGGAAACCAGGCACAACGTTGTGAAGCTGGAAGCCAAATAGCTGCAACCAGCTGCCAATGTCTGCACATAAATACAGAAATATATTT